TCGTCCGTAGGGGGGACGGGCATTGGGGGAGGGGCCCTTCGGGCTGCCCTTCGGGCGATGGCCCCCCGCTCCCCCCCTCCCCCGGTGCGCCCTGCCCGCAGATCGGTCTCGCCTGCGGGCCGCGGCCCGCGCCAGCGCACCCTGCGCCGCCGCCGCGGACCGGAGGCATTCGACTGCGGCAGGTTCGTGTCGTGTCGACGCGGCTGCGACCCCAGCAGGGGCAACGATGGGGGGGGATGCGCATGGGGGGGGCTGCATCGACCCCCAATCGCCCATTGATCCCCGACAGGGCCCCGATATCCCCAACCTGCCCAAGAGTCTGCGGATTTGCCCTCGGGGCATATCGCTGGCCTATCGCTGATCTGTCGGCGATGCATCGCCGATTCCAGGTCCACACATCCCCCCCAATGCCAATGCCTGCCGTTGCCCCTCAAAGGGGCATGAGCAGGAGGGAGGAGGGCAGGGGGAGAGGGAAGGAGAGTCAGGAGGAGCAGGGCAGGGCCCTTTTCGATCGGATCGACCCCGCTCGGTATCGATTCCAGCCAGCTCGATCTGGTTAGATTTCGATATCCGGTCGGTTGCGGCAAGTCCCGCCGCCGTGCCAGCCCTGATCTCTCGGAGGCGACTGTTCGAGGGGCGACAAGAGGCAGTAACATGTGAATCGAGTGGCGTTAAAGGTGCAGTGTGTGTATTGAAGGTCGGAGCAACGGTCAGAACGCCATCACATGTCATACCTCGGCCGTCTTAAGTGTACCGTGGGAGGTCGTTCGGAGCGGAGCGTGAGGATAAAGGAAACGATATTGAGGAGATGGGGAAAGGGGGAGAAGGAGGAGGAGGAGGAGGAAGAGGAGGAGGTGGAACAGGAAGACGATGAGGATAGTGGACAATTGCGATGCGGAACATCATGATGGCAGTGATAAGTGTCTTAACCAGTGTACGGGAGTTTGGTAGGGAACAGCCAGCAGCGCGACAGTTACTTTCGTAGTTGTGTAGGGATCGGGTCCAAACGGCTTGGGGCGGCGGCCCCTTTTCGCCACCGCGCGCGCGACGGCCCCGCCATACGAGGACCCTCTCGCGCGGCAGCGGGCCGCCGCCTGCTGGATCCGAATGCTGCAAGCCTACGCGAAACCGATGCTTAGTTGCGCGCACGGCGCGTCCCGCGGACGCCGATGGCAACGTCACATCGTGTGTTTCGCGGCAGCAACCTTGAAATTTTGGGGCCTGGGTGCGCCGACGCGGCGCGGGATAAGCTTGCGTTAAGCCTCGCGGAGGGGCGTGGGCCATGCTCTTCGGGATGCAGTGCCCCCCCCCCGCTCAGGGGGAAGGGGCGGTTAGCCCGCTGGGCGCCCGCCCGAGGAGCGGCGGGCGCCCGCGGGGCACGCCCCGCCCGCTGCCCCTGCAGGCTCGACCGCCCACGACGACTCCGCCGCCGCTGCCGCCGCTGCCGACGACGACGACGACGACGACGCCCGCCAGCACCAACGAGACCGCAATGAGGCTCTGCGGGGTGGGGTGCTGGGCGGACGCGGCCTGCTTCCGCCGGCCCGCGAGGGGCAAACTTGAGCTCAGGGCGAATCCGGTTGGCGCCGCTTGCGCTTGGCGCAGTTTGACCACCAAGTCGGGCGCGGAACCCAAAACGGAGCAGCCTCTGTCTGAGGGCGCCGAGCTCGATGGCGCAAGTCGTCCCGCTGGGTCGGAACTCAAGTCAATGAAAGGCAAGATACCAGAGACGGCGCTCGATATTGAGACTACCATCGAGGATGCCGAGGAGGACGTCGACGCGCTCGCAACCGTGGGCGGCGAGGAATCACCGCCATGTCTGCCGAAAAAGAAAAATGATAAGATGACGAGTACGAATAACCATACGAATCATAATCATTCGAACAATAACAAAAACATTAGTAATACGACGGATGCTGCTATGACGCACAATAAAAATAATCAGAATCAGAAAAAAGAGGTTGGGAAACCCACGAACATGGGCAAGGCTGCTGCTTCTCGCAATAGGCCAGAGTTCCGAAGGGACGAACCAGGACCATGAATGGCGTTCAAGGATGATGAGCGGTACATGACCCTCACGGAAGTCGATCGAGGTGCTGCGCTCGAGGTTCGTGGCAAGGTCGACGGCAACTCCCGCCATTACCGCATTCAAGGCCGAGGATCGCTCGTGCACTGTGGACGGCAATGATGGTGCGTGTCTCGAGGCGTGCTCATGGACTTCGCGAAGGGCGTCGGTGCCAACCTGCTCGCGAACCTCCAGACGGTTGCGGGCGGCAAGTCGAGCGCCCACTTCTCTGACGCCGCCGCGGGCGACTGCGAGGTGATCTGTTCCGACAGGGGGCGCGAGTTCGCGCGCGCGGGTTCGTGCCGCGTACGGCCCGACTGGAGAGCCGGGGGACAGGTCGCCCCTCCCCACGAGAACGAGGGGCGCCCGCCCAAAGGAGACGGGGATCTCCCGCATAAATAATGGGCGCGCTGTTTGCTATCGCTGAAGGACCTCTCATATGAGCGAGGAGAGGTTGGTGCAGAGCGTAATCGCCTGTGCGTGGGTGCTTCCCTTTATAATCTTGCGCGTGTGACACGTGGTCAGGGTTGTCTCAGAGACCGGCCGTGGAGGACCGCGATGGCCCCTGGCCATCTCCCGCCGCAGGCGGGGCAGGCATGAACCCCCAGAGCCTTCAGAAGATGGGCCCCTCGCTGTCCCCCCTGCGGCCCCGCTGGGGCCCTGGGGCCAGGTGCGCGTCTCGGGCCACCTCGCTCGCGTGACTCTGCCGCGCGGCTGTCGAAAAAGGGGCGCATTGATGAGTGCAGTAACCAGTGTGCGGGAGCGTGGCAGGGAGCAGCGAGCAGCGCGGCGGCTGATTCCGTAGATGTCTGGGCCCAGAGACTTCTCCCGCGAGCAGCCCCCGAGGAATCTCATGCCGTTTCCGGCCATCGAGAGCAAGGGCCTGACCGTGCCCGTCTCGCAGTTAGGAAATTCCACGTTTCATTCTCTCGCGGGGAGCGTGGCTAGGGTTGTCTCAGAAACTGACCCTGCCAGGCCGCGTTGAATCCTGGTGCACATGGGCCTCCGGCCTTCCCGACGGCCGTCTACGCGGGGCTCTAGTGAGGCCCCCCTTCCTTCAGGAGGCAGAACACGGGCCGTAAACCTGTTCAATCTTTTGCTGTTTGTCTTCTCTCCGAGGCCGTCTTGGACTGTCCAATCGGTCGCGACCCCTCCCGTCCAGGTCCAGGGCAGGGGGTGGGGGAAGGGGTCGAGTTCCGAGCAGGAACTCTACGAGCTGTCTCGCTCACCCCCGCCCGCCCCCCCAACGCATAAACAGCACCCGAGTTTCGCCATAGGCAGGAGCCGCCATCGACAACCGTCGGTAACCAATGCAGACGTCAGCCAGGCGCGGCACGCCCGAGAGGTGCACCGCACATGCCAGATGCGCCACGCGCACCAAATGCGCCACATCGGGCAATCGAGCCCCGACCGCCCCTTTCAAAAACTAACGCACAGTGGCGGCGGGTTTGCCTGCATTGTGTGGTGTGTGCGCACGCGCAACCATTTTGAACTTGCTTTTGGCAGGGATGTTGGGCCTGCACGCAGCAGGCAAGATGCCGCCCTCCCCCGCCGACCCTGTCAAAACCAATGCAACATGATCGCGGGGCGCCCGCGCATGATCCAGATCCTGTTGCAAAGTGCATGTTGCTTATTTGTTGTACGAGGATGGCGGGGGGGGGTGGCATTGGCCCTGGTTAGTCGCAGGTTGGGTGGAAGAGGGGGTGTTCATCAAGGAACAGTGACAGTACCCTCCCCGAAGTGGAAGGAGGCGGGGTGAAGGAGAGAACTCGCTAAACCACTCACTCCCTGAGAGGCTGGTGGGATTTGTTGCAAAGGCCGATGGCTGGGAACGCAGACCCATGTTCTTTTGCAACAGTATCGTGGGTTCGGGGGCGAAGGCATCTTGTTTTTCACGGAAAGGGGGGGACGATGCACGCTGGTTTTGGCGAGGAGACGGGGGAGGGGTTGAGAACATCAACAGAAACTTTGCCAGGCAATAGGCATCATCTTACCACGCCTGAGCGTGCCAGGGCATCCGACGATCCGATGTGGCCCGTATGGCTTTGCTGCGCGTCTTGGCGCAGCCGATTTAGTTCGACTCCGACTTCATGTCGATGTGGCCCGATCCGACGCACGTTCCGATCCGTGCCAATTTCCCGATGTGATGTTGACTGATCTCGCGAGGCGGAGCTGGGGGGCAGGAGGAGCAGGAAGCTAACGATTCCGTGGGTCCACCCCTTCCCTCCGCATTCGATGTCTTGTTGCGCTGTTCCCCCTTCGGTGTGTCACGCGTCGATTATGGATTCGCTTTGGTGCATCATGACGTGGCGCAAACAACCACATGACGAGGACGAGGAGGAGCAAGAGGCAGTAGGATTCGCAACCAGAAGCAGCAAGCCGATCATGATGTAATTGATTTTAGGGCATGACCATGGCGACATTTGAAACTCATCTGGACGATGCATCGTGTCGTGGATTTGCCTGTAGGAGGAAAGGGGAGGATAAGCAAAGGGGTGGGGAGAACGAGGAGGAAGAGGAGGTTGGAGGGAGAGAAGGACCTCAGTGAACCACGGGTGGTATTTGGTTGAGCATTCTGCTCTCTTTTTCTTCATCCGTCCTCCTCTTCCTTTTCTGGCGGACCAGTTTCATCGTCAGGTGTAATTGCATGTGCGTGCATCTATTTGTTGTGGCAATTTCTCGACAGGGCCTCGTCCTCGAGGGATGGACAAGTTGTCTTCCACTCCTCGGGCGAAGGCGGCAGAGCGCGGCGAAGGCTGGCGGAAGCTGGCGAAAGCGTCCGCGCCCCATAGGTCCCGTGTACATTTGCACACGTGAGTGCGTGACACGTTGGGTTCCTGGCCGACGCTCCTCTGGGTGCCCGCTGGCCCCCAGTCGGGCGGTGCCTACCCCCCGAGGTGGAGCTGGAGACTTCCAAGGGGCCCATCAAGCTGAGGAGCCCGATGCTTTCGGCAAGCCCGTGTTGCCCGCCGCTCCGCCGCGCTCCTCGTCCTCGTGCTGCCCCTTCGATCAAGCTCGGGCATCCAAGCATGACGACGAGAGCACGCCGACGCAGCTTTGCCAGCACTGGGCCGGCGTTTCGCCCTTCTGGCGACCCTACAGCGCCGAACGGACCACCGATATTGCACATGCGGTAGGGCATGGAAGCAGTGCTCCTCCTGGATCCCTCGTCTTTTCTTCCTGCTCCGTCGTCCTCCCTCGTCCCTCCTCTTCCCCGATCCCTCGCTTTTCTGTTCTCCTAGGCCCTCTTCTCTCCCTGATCCATCTTTCAAGCCTTCAAGATGCAGATTGTATCCTGCAATGGAGCGAAGCCCTGGCAAGCGGGGAAGAGGGTGTGGCGACTAGCGCGAGGGGGAGGGGGAGAATCAGGGCGGTGATAAACGACGGGAGGAGTGGCCAGAGGGGGGCGTATTCTCCTTATCCGCCTCTTCATCCTCCTTCGTATTCTCTTCCTTCTCCTCTTCCTCTTCCTCCTGGGCACAACCTGTGGCGCTTAAGCTTTCTGGCAATGGCGTTGCTCACAGACGGCGTATTGCCCAGAATACGAGACCTGTCCAGGGCAATGCGAAGATAGACTCGCCGCAGCCGCTGCCAAGAGCTTGCCCGCAGCCGCGATGTCGTCTGCGACCCTGGCCTCGATGCCCCAGCGCATGAGGCCGAAGTCGTCTCAGCGATGACGGACAGCTGAACAGTGGGCCGCACGGCTTGCACAGCGTCCAAGGGACCTAACACAAATCAGTTGCAACATGCAAGAGTCAAATGTACACTCAGGCACAACAGGTTGCTCCACGGAAAGCAGAGAACCAACCTCTCCACCGACATCGATAATTCTCGACGGTCGACGGATCTGCACAAGGAGGTACATTTGCCACATAGGAAACCTAGAGGTTGACGCTGCAGCAATCAAGTGGTGGTGTTGCACCAATTCGAATGCTTCCTTGAGATCAAGAAGGAGGGTCGCACAGGCCCTATTCATATACGTAGAATGTTCCGACCAGGCCGCCTGGATCCACACGCACTTGTCCGACGACTTACCATGGGTGGACCAGAAGAAAGACCTAAAGTTAGCAGCCTGCCAACGGCCTATGAGAGGACGTCTCAGGCGATACTGCACACGAGCCAGGACATGCAGGAACCCCAACTGACACACACACACACACACACACACACACACACACACACACACACACACACACACACACACACACACACACACACGCACCGTACGTTTCAAAACGAAAACAATGCGATTCCAAATGTTTGGCCATTCTCGCGTGTGCTCAAGATGGTGAATGATATCGCACAGAGCCTCGAGCGCTACAGGCGACAGAAAGAGGAACGACCTCGGCGCAATCTGGCCAAAACTGGTGCCAGACGAAAGTTTGAACATGTTGAGCATTTCCACAAGGCTGGCCACATCGGGTCTGGGAGGGGGCTCACCAAGCTCAGGCCAACAGAGGGGCTCATGCTCAACACCGACCTGCCACCATCGCTTCCACTCACCTTCCAGCGAATCGATCGACTCGAACGAAGTACGGGGCCGAAGGGTGGAGGGGTGAATGGAAGCAGGCTGCCACGGGGTGGGGAGGGAAGAGAACTTGTAGAGGGCATTAGAGGGCCGACATCCCCCCAGACGTGTGATTGTCAACCCACTTCCCCATTCGCGCTCCTTGGCCTGAGCGCAGAGGTGGTGCTGCCTCTTCGCCTCGTCGCCCGCGACGCTGGCGAGCACAGAGGCTGACAGGGCAGGCAGAAAGTGAGCTTGCCGAAACATCGCCGTCCACGCAGCGAGCTCAGCAGTGTCAGGAAGCCGATGAAGTCGTGAAAGACGCCCAGCTGTTGCGACAAGCTGGGACCTGAAGGAGCCTGTCGGCTCGCGACGAAAGTCGGACAACAAATTCTGGACCTTGCGCCACCAGCAGGCCAGGGGGGAGAGCTTGGGAAACCTGCGCGGAGCAGGTGAGGAAGGGGTTGTCCACCAGTTCTGGAGGGGTTTATCCTGGCCGACGAACTCCGCACAGTGCTCCCCCGAAATCTGAAGAACATGAAGCCATTCGGCCTCAGCAGCCCTCATGAAGGCATCCCACTTGTCGGGAACCAGGAAACCAGGATCCGCACACATGTGACTAACATGATCCCAGGGTCAACCTCAGCGGGGAGCCCAAGGCATCCGATAGGGACATGGACGGGGTACCTTCTGGGGAATTTTAACGTACCTATCCTTGCACAGAGGCTCGACAGAGGGCAGGGGGAGCCTGACAGGACAGTGAGGGGAAGTAGGCACACTCTGAACAATTTCGGCCCTAGCATGCCCTAGCACAACCTGCAATCTGGCGCGAGACAACGAAGTAGTCAATGAACCTCATGGCGGGCCTGCTCGTGCCATGCTCGGGTGCGACGACGACCGCGTCCAGCGCGTCAGCCCAGGAAGTCTTGAGCAGGTTATCGAGAGGGAATTTCCAGTCACCGCCGATCACGAAGGTTAGCCCAGCCGTCTTGAGCCGTGCTCCCACTCTGGCCAAGATAGACCAGTTCTGCTCGTTGATGCTTATGGAGTGGCCGAGATACAGGTTGCCTAGCACGAAACCGCCACGAAGCAGGCCACCAACCAGTCACGATCTGAGCGTCAACGCGATCCAGCGGAGCCAAACCGATTCTCTTGACAGCGGCAGTGACTAAGCCCCCTAAAGGGTTGCCGAGCGAAGGAAGCGCCGCACACGCAGAAGCTGACCACCTTGACGAGCGCATCTTGGCTTCCACAGACTCAGACGATGCCTACAACGTGCGCGACTCCTGCAACAGCAGGACATCGCTGGGAATGGACTCGGCGAGGTACGCATCAAGGCCGACTTGGCCGCCGACGTTTGCCGTGATGATGGACCACTGTTTGCGCCGCCTCTTGCTAAACACGGGGCGCGGAGGAGGAGCTGGCGCCAGTGGTCTCAAAGGATTAGACTTGAACTTCTTGGATGCTACATCGTTGAGACCTCCGAGGATGTTGTCACACTGCTGCCTGGAAAGTCCCTTGGATGCCAAACACGGTTCCCAACCTTCCTCCGTGGCGAGACGCTGAAGGAAGGAGGAGAACTGGCCGGCAATTGGTTGGTCGCAGTCCTGAGGCTGCACGGCCCCGCCCCCCCCGCAGGGCTCATTCCGACTCGGTCGCCGATTTCCACCGGTCCGATTCATTTCGATCGCTGACGTCCCGCCCCATTGGCACGAGAGTGGCAGGGCGAGCGCCCGCAGCGAACGGTGAGGCGGCGGCGAGCCCATCTTCTCCAGAGATGGCTTGCGCGGCGGCCTCGACAGGCAGAGCAGCAAGGGCGAGGGGTACAGTGGAGACACATGCCAAGAAACACCCTGCTCGCCTCCAGGGTGCCCTAGGTTTCTTGGGTTTCGAGGTTTTGCAATGGGAAGCGTGACCTTCCCACGCCAAAAATCAATAGACGTCCTGGGATCTCAGGGTTGGGTTTTTTGTGGAAGGTTTCTCATCCATCCGCGTCATCCATGCCGTCATCGTCGTCGACGCTGCAATTCTCGGGCTCGTCGGATACCTCGGCGGGCACGGGCATACCATCGCGAGCAGTCAGAAGCGAGCGAGGCGAGGCCACAATCTTGCCATCGAGCGACTCGCACTGCTTGAGAAGCGCGACCACCGCCACGTTGACCCCGCGGACGGCCACCAGCTGCCGTAGAGCTGACCGCAGCCCACGCCGCAGTGGCTTTGGGGTAACGGATACGCTCATGCTCGTGCAGCTGCTCAAGCTTGCCCTTGAGCGCCCACGAGCTCATTGAACTTCTCCTGCACCTCCTTATCGAGCTTGCTGGCCTTCTGCTCGACTTGTCGCACCTGGCGCTTGGCCTCGTCGCAAGTCTGCTGGGCGTGTTTGGCGACTGCCTTGGGATCGCCTGCGGCGAGCGCGCGCTGCGCTTGCTCGCGGGCGCGCTGGCTCGGGCCAAGCAAAGACTTATTGGTCTCGAACTCTTCCTCGTTCTCCTCTTCCTCCGCTTCCTCTTCCTCCGGTTCCTCCTCCTCCTCCTCCTCGTCATCATCATCATCATCATCATCATCATCATCATCATCATCATCCATCATCATCATCATCATCATCATCATCATCATCATCATCATCAGCATCATCATCATCATCATCCATCATCCATCATCCATCATCATCATCATCATCATCATCATCATCATCATCATCATCATCATCATCATCATCATCATCATCATCATCATCATCATCATCCATCATCCATCATCCTCATCCTCCTCCTCCTCCTCCTCCTCCTCCTCATCCTCTTCCTCTTCCTCCTCCTCCTCCTCCTCCTCCTCCTCCTCCTCCATCTTCTCCTTCCCCTCATCCTCCCCCCCTTCCACCCCCCAATGGCCCAAGGGGGAAATCTCACTGCCCCCAAGGGCCCAAGGGGCAGAAAGGAGGAGCTTTCGAGGGGTGCGCGAGGGCATCGTCGCTGCGTCAGACCTGTCTTGTCCGCCTTTGCCCTCCTCGCCCGCCGTCGCCCGCCCTCCCTGCCCGCCAGGGGTAGAACTCACGCGCCTGCCACGCCAGAACGGGGCCGATCATTGGAGATGTGAAGGAGGAGCGGAGGAGTTGGAGGAGGAGGAGGAGGAGGAGGAGGAGGAGGAGGAGGAGGAGGAGGAGGAGGAGGAGGAGGGGAACGAGGAGGAGGGGAACGAGGAGCAGGAGGAGGGAGGAAGGAGGCGGAGGAGGAGGGAGGAGGAGGAACGTGCAGGAATGCGCAGAATAGCGACAACAGAGGTCGCAAAGCACCACATTAGTCGGTGCGAGGGGAAATAGCACGGCCCATGTCACCTGGCCACTTGGAATCCACTGCCCCTCTGGTCTGATGCAGTTGTATAGGAGGGGGAACAGAGGACAGAGTGTTTACACAGTTTGGAGGAATTCGTGA